AGTGTGTGACTGCGTTGAAGGTCCTTTGAGCTAGCTGCCCACAGAAGAAATAATACCACATGAATGTGCACAATCATTTTCGAAGAGCGTTGCAATGCTAGCATACAATTAAACGCTGCCAACGGCATTGTGCTATTGTCGTATCTCCGGGTGGCATCTCCATATCTGTCCTAAATTATTTGATTTTGATTGGCATAATACTATTATAGGTGCTGCATTGTTGTAGTCGCCTTGTCAGGCAAAGAAGCTTTGGCAATCCAGCGAAATTGCATTGCACAAACCCAATCGAAATGGACATAAAATGCGCAACAAGCAGCTTTGTCCATAAATCAATGAAATCGGGCGCACAGCATGGGCTGGCTTTCAAACGGACCGCCTGCACTTGATATATCGATGTCTCTAGCATTTTTTTCCTTTCCAAGAGCTTAAAACAATAAATGGCCATAAATAACCAACAAGAGTCATTTAATACCCTGCCATAGTTTTTATTTTTGGTTGATTTATGTACAACAAAGAAGTGAAAACCCTTTGGTCAGAAGTATAACTAATAAACTGACAATGATTATTAAGTGTTCCCTATTTCTGCGGGCTTTAGAAGACTCTAGGGTATTGTCTAGTCGTTCATTTTTGTGTTTGTCTTTTGTTCACCTTGCTTCACATGCAATTTAACCAAAATTTCACGCCAACTGCGGTGCACATTTTCTTTGCTGTTAACAAATATAAATGAATGAATAAATATATAAATAATAATAAAAAAACTAAAAAACCGGTCGTGCGTGTGCGTATGTGTGTGTGTGTGTGTGCATGGACAGCTGCACACGCTGAATAAACGGAAATTCTTAACACCCAGCACAAAAAGCTTATACAAATACATGTGCATATTTATACACGTAAACAAATGTAAGCGGAAGTGGGCTTAAAACTGGCAAATGCTTGTATATTTATCCAGCCGAAAATATTAAAAATTTGTTTTTAAATAAAGGACTTTGCAACTAGTTTGAATTGAACTCGAATGAACCTGGCTGTGTGGGAAAAATAGTTTGAAATTTAAAGGCTCTGCTTTTAGCTTAATATAACATAATATTTTATTAATTAATTTGAATTCGAATAATGTATACTATTAGGAAAAACCTGAAAGGGGACGTACAAAATACAGCAAAGAATTCATTATTTAAGGTTTCTAAAATATATTTTAATGGTAAAATCTTGTCCGTTTAGGTCGTTTAATTCGTATTAAAAAACTTCCATTCTCTATAAAAATAAAATTTTACAAAAATGACATACAAATATAATACATTTCTGAAAAATTGGGATTGGCAGGAATTAAAACCGATTAAAGGTTAGATTTTAAACCTTAGACAAAATGTAACCATATAAAGTCTTCTTTGTGTATTTTATTCACTAATATTTTTAATTTTTAGATTGAAGAACTCAGCAATTTTTGGATTAATTATGATCCTGCTAAGATTACGTAAAGTTTATTCAAGATTTAAGATATAAAAAAATGTTATTCGGAATAAATGACAAAGTTTCGTTGATTTTTTATTTTCAGCCCAATTCCTGTATGATCCATATATCCTTGATTATCTCACATAATATAACCTAAATAGCAATATATATGCAAATTGTGCAAGAATTCGATTGATAAATATGCATGCCTTTTCTTTTAGCAGCCTTGGTTATATTATAACATAGATATAGTCCTGGTTAACCTAAAGCATTCCTGCAGCATACACACTGAAATGGTACAAAAATATGTATAATTTTTATTTTCAGCAGACCCATTTAACGGCCCTTAATTTGAACTGCTTAACAGCCGTTTTAATAGCGCACAATTAACATATGCCTCAGCTTTTGCTTAACAGCCGCCTAATTAACAGTCATGTTAGTCAACAGCAGTCTAACATTTTTGCCCTTACGCGTATGCAATGAAAATATTCATAAGGACAAAATTGTTGTCTACCTGCTGCGCATTTCTGTGCGCCTGGTACGTTCGTTCAAATCTGGCCAGCCAACTGACACCCTGTGCGGGTATGCAACCAAAAATGTTTAATTCGTAGATTTAAGTCGACCTACTACTAGTTTCTGTTCGCCTGGCATTTCAGCTGAATTATTATTTTTGCAGTAGAATTTAGCGACAGGTAATTTTCGAAAATTAATTAATAAAATTAATAAAATATTTTAAATGACCATAACTCGAGTATTTGGAGTCCGATCTCGGCAAGATTAGGCGCTTTGTAATAGTGGAGATCCTAAGAATTGGCTTCAATTACATGACGTAGATTATCTATTTGGTTACCTTACCTGGGGCGCACTTGAGCACAAATTGGTAAGTGGCCTTCGCGACGCAGAAACAACAAATTAAACAAGAAAAAGCGTTTATTGGAGTTACTTTATTTTTTGTATGTTTTCGTCGGGGTCGCAGCTGTCGCGCCCCGCTGCCCGTGCTTCAAGAGGCCCTTAAAGTTAAAATAAAATTAAGAGATGCTGAGTAGTCGCTATTTTGGACTTTGCTCATTTTTTATGGCTTTGGCTGGCACTTTGTTGGGATTTACTTTACGGTTTTTTGTGGCCAGCCAAAGCTGTTCACAAATTTGCGGAGCATTAGGGTGCATTAATTTTTCAAGTGCCTTCAAATAATTATCATAATTATCGTTTAACTAATAAGTATCCTCTGCAGCAGCAGCAGAAGCAGCTGTAAGCGAAGTTAACTTTCCACAACGTCATTTTTTATTCGGTGTTAGCTGCTGCAGTCGACTGCGGGCCGTTTGCGTAATCTGTGAGTGGTGCAACAGAAACTTTATCAAGGTAAGCTGAAAAGTAAGACGATTAAAGTGTCGTAATAGATTAAATATAACCATTTATCTCTTCCAGTTGTTCCAAGTGAAGTTTCTTTTCAATTTGCAGCTTAATTTTCAACTAGCTTAAACACAGTGTTGTAAAGTTCCAAATGGCGTGGGCGTATGGCGAGCTATCAATAGATAAGCTAGTTTTTATGTATTATTGGGACAACTAATTCCGGTCACATCTGGTGTGCTGATAAAATAAAGCCAAGATCAAATGTCGTTAGTTTCAAGATGCATTGGTAAATAAATTGAAATTTTAAACCACAAACTATTTATTGTGAAACAACTTTGACATTATAAGCCATTATTGGCTCAATTGTATATTGCCAATTATTTGTATTTATTTCTCCATTCAGTTCTGTGGGCTAAACAAAGCGCTGACATTCTCGATTGTTGTTTAATTGAGCGGAATTCCAAATGAGCGCATGGGCTGGCGACAATGGAAAATATTTGATTGGCTGGGCGTGGGGCGTGGCCCGTGGGGGCCTCCATTAGCAGCACTCGACGCACGACAATACGATTTGAGTGCAGTTTTATATTCGTCGGAAAATACAAAATACACATATTTAAATGTATATGTATTTACAGTCGTGGTTGAATAAAAGATTTGAGTGGTTGTTCGATTGAATGCACATTTAATAGAAATCAGAAAGGCTCTTCAACACACAGTTTACATTTAGTTAAGCATTTAACATTATCGCTAATATATGTTTTACATATTTCCATATTAATATTTATATTCCAGTGTCTTTGACCTGGTTGCACTTAAGACTAACAACTATCAATTTATGTATACTCGTAGTATTATTATATATATATTTATATATACATTCTGTAAAAAACATCAAGAGATATACGGAGATATGTCAATTGGGATCTTAACTAGACTGGGATTTGGTTTGCCTTTGGATATTAATACTTGTGAATAGCATTATGAGCTTTTTCTTGTATTTAAATTCGAATATTTGTATTACTTTATCATTTAGGTATTTTATTTTGTTGGGGAAACCTGATGTTGGGATCCACCTAAAATACGTATACAATTTTATTTTTAATGGTTTCTACTAGCACTCTGAGTACTGTGATAGTTGATTTTCATCGTTCATTGGCTAAACTAATTTTAATCTAATCAGATCATAGCTGGCTGGGTTTATATACTATATATATATATATATATATGTCTAGCGAATATGCCCCATGGGATTTATTGTGTATGGTACTTATATGTACAACAAGTGTTGAGAAACTGTTTTCTTATGCTAACATTCACAGTGCCTACTGCACATCTACGTACCTCTAATTCCTCTAATTATACTCAATTACAGTGCTCAGCGAAAATGCATCTGTGTGAATGCATTTAGCTAAGCATAGCTATTGGTAAAAGCGTTTTGTGATAATGCTCCCCCCTTTTTGTCTTAAACTATTTAATACGTAAACTAAGCACAGTTGCTATTTAGTACACATTAAATAAATTCTGCAGAGAACAAAATTCAATTTAATTTGAATTTAAATTCGTTTTGTTTCTGTTTTTCTACTTTTGCTTAGCTTATGTCAATTGTATTTATTTATTTATTTCGTTATTCCCAACGAAACATTGATTTCCTTTCAACTCTTCAGGTTTACAGCACACAGATATAATTGAAGAAATACAAGTTCATCAAATGTTGAAATATTTAAAGACTCAGTGAGTGAATATTTGAAAAAGTAAAAGTTTTACCTTTGGCTAAGCACGCAGCATATGTTGGCCAATATGGCTGGTGGCGAGCGGAAACGGAAGTTGCTGCCAGTTGAAGCTGGTTTCTCTTGTGGCTCGCCTCGCTTGCCCCCGCTGGCCAGACTATTAAAGTTCAATGAAGTTTCAACGCCGTGTGACACTTTGGAGGCGGCCTATCAACAGCGACCCCTCCGGCTAGCCGACGGAGCGTCAATGAAGTGAACAAAAGTATATATCCGGCGGCCATCAAATGGCCATAAATTTTACAAACGTCGCGCTGTCTGTTGAGAATTTGTCAGACACCCCTCGCCCCACCACGCGTTCTTTGGCCACTCAGCGAAAAGCACTAAAAATGTTTCAGGCTTTTAGGAGTAGGTGCTACTAATGGCACCATTACCTGCTCCTGGGCGGGAGGTGTCCCCCCCCCCCCCCCCCCCACTTCTGCCGGGCAAGCGGCGTATTTGTCGCTTACTTTGTAGCCACATCACAAAATTACGCTTTAAACTTGGCCCTCAGCGAAAACTTTTTGAGCCAAATAGCTTTCATTATGGGTTTGCGCTTATTGTTGTTGTTGCTGCAAGTAGCTGTTTCTGCCCCAAGCCCCGCCTTCAGCGCTTTTTACGTGACCAGCTGAAAAATTGTTTCATCTTGCCACAGAAATAAAACCAAATGAATCAACTTTTCAAATAAAAATAGCAATCTGTTCAATGGCAGCGGCAGCAGCAGCAACAACAACATTTTTCCTAGACTTTGCGTACATGATGAATTTGGCATGTTTGTCGCATTTGTGCGTCGCAAATTGGCATAAATTAAACGCATAATTGCGAAAATAGCCAAATAAACAAATAAACAAAAGCTCAGCTTGCATTGATTGCAATTTTTTCTTAACAAATTGAGGGCAACAACAAAAACGAGTATCAACCTAATTTTCAGTTATTTTTACGGGTATTTGTAAAATTGATAAAAAGGAAATTGTTTGGTTTTATGCATACATTCGACCAGCTGCTAACTTATTTTTAAAGCTCTTCAATAAAAATAAATCAGCCCGTGTCCCAGAGATTTTACATATTCCATTGCCAAGGTCGGAAAATGCTTCTATTTTGATATTAGTTCCATGGAAATGCACGTCCTTATAACGTTGTTTCCCAGACCTCGGCAGAATTCAAAGAATTTTTTGGTCTTCAATAATGCGGTTTGAATTCCATTATGGAGTTCCGGGCTTGGCCTTGATTCAGACAAACTTAATACACCTGGATAACCACAATTAGAGAACGATATGTTAGCTTCTGTTAGCTTCTACCGACCAGCTGGCCGGGCTGTGCACGAATTCGAGTGGTCTGGTGTCGGTTTGCCTGGCAAATGAGCTCAATGCCAAATGCAAATTGAATTTCAAATTAATTAGAGACCCAAGCCACAGCCACACGAATACGGTCCAGTTTGGTTTAACTTAGAGCTGGCGCCTTTAAAGGTTCGCCGTTGAGCCGCTGTTCGAATGGGTTCTGTGCAGAGCCGAGACGGGCCGCTGGGTGAGTGTCCTGGAGTCGGCAAAGTCGACGCTGGCGCACTTGATGGGCGGCGGCTTGAGAGAATTGGCGTTTGACTTGAGCTTGCCGGGCTTGACGGGCGTCTGCTATCTGCTGGGCCGCCAGGCGCTGTTGCTGGAATAGCGGCAGAGCAGCACTTTCTTGAAGGCTTGCCGGAACACTTTATTGAATATGGTATAGAATATTGGATTCACCATGGAGCTGGCATAGCCCAGCCAGGTGACCACGTCGAATACCCAATGGCTGATGCGCTCCTCGCACTCCGCGCACACCGTTGGCAACAAGTTGAGCACAAAGAACGGCGACCAGAGTATGACAAAGGTGAAGAAGACCACACCCAGCACCTTGGTGGCCTTCTGCTCCAGACGTATGATGCGTCCGTGTCGCGACGAGTTTCTCGAAATGACGCTCGAGTTGCGCGAATGATGTGAACGCACCGTTTGCTGTCGCTGCAGCAGACAGGGCGACGATTGGGGCGTTCGCGACTTGCCGCCCTCCCCGACGCCGCCGCCTCCAATCTGATAGTTCATGTTCTGGTGACTGCGCAGCGTTGCCGAGCGGCGCAGCGGTGTCATTGTCGTCGCCGTCGTCGTGGTGCTGGCCAGCGTCTTGGTGGGCGTCAGCAGCAGCGAGGTGCGCACGCCGCCAAAGCTGCTGCCGCGCCGGCGATGACGACTCGCATCCCAGGTGACCACTGAGGCGGTCTTTGAGATGCTTAGCTTGCGTCGTCCGGGACAGGGTGTGCCCGGTGCGGCCAAATAGCCGCTGCCATCACTTTGGGAGCTGCCTTGCGCCTGCTGCGCCGACCGCGGCGACAACGTGTTGCCCGATGCACAAGCTGGTGTAGTTGCAGCCCCCGCACCGCCTGCGCCCGCACTGATACTGCTGGTGAGGGCGCTCTTGTTGTTGCTGGCGCTGCAGAGGAGCAGCTCCATTTCGCTGGGCGAGCTGCTCACTGCCGTGGTCGCCTTGAAGGCCGACGAAACGATCTTCACCTCGGCCGTCTTCACGCAGCTCGTCAGCGGACGATCTCCAAAGTAGGGGCAGGTGCACACCGGCGGCAGCTGGGGGTAATCCGTTGCATGACTGGAGCTACTGGCCACATGGCACTGCCTGCCCGGCTGCGTCTGCGGCTCCAGCTCCGTATCCGAGTGGCAACCCTTGCTAATGGACGAAGATTTCGAGGGTTTCTCCTCCTCCTCCTCGTCATCGTCGTCGTCGTCCTGCAACTCGTTGTCATCGCCGTCCAGGCTTTCGTGCAGCGTCTTGTGGTGCGGGTAGAGCGCATTTTTGGGCAAACTATTGTAACGCTTGCGTCGTCGCAGCGTATCCTGATCCTCATCCTCGGCATCCTCGCTGCCAGCGCGTCGCTCCCGTCCAGCAGCAGCGGAAGAGGCGCGTCTGCGCTTCTTGTAGGCGCGCAGCCTTTGCGACAGCTGGGAGAGCGTGCTGCCGGCAAAAGAAGAAGGAGAGAAAACGAAGACATTTAAATATTGGGATATAATTGAGAAATATTCAAATTATTTAAGTGCTATAGTGAATTCTCTTAATAGGCTAATCAACTATTCATACATACATCTAAAATTTCTAGTCTCTAGCTCTTATAGGTTCTGAGATCCTTGCGTTCATACATACAGCAGACGGCGAAATGGACAGGCGGACGGACGGACAGATGGACAGACAGATAGACGGACATAGTCTGATCGACTCGGCTATTGATGCTGATCAGGAATATATATACCTGTCGGGGTTGGAGTTGCTTCCTTCTGCCTGTTACATACATTTCCATTTTGCACAAATACAATTTACCCTTTTTACCCATTTTCAATGGGTTGTGGGTATAAAAACAGAACTCACAGAACTGTCCGTAGTAGAAATTTTCAAATATGTTAATATATGTTGCCAGTTTCACACGCCTCTTTGCCGGAATTTATTTCTTTTTTTTTAATTAAAATTGCTCAGTCAATTGGTAAACAGAGTGCCTGAAAGCGTGCTGCCTGTCCGCAAACACACACGCACACACACAAGCGTGCACAACCGCACGCTTTGTGGTCATCTGGCTTTGTGCGCGCAGAAAAGTAGGCAACACTTTTTCGCTTGTTTTTGTTTTCCGTTGGCAGTCGCACAGAATCCACAAAATGCGCTTTGCGGTTCGCATTGTTGTTGCTGCTGTTGTGTTCTCTTTTTCCCTCTCTCTTTTTCACTGTTGTTTTCTTAAAGCAAACATTGTTGCGCTCGCTTCTCTCTCCTTACTGCCCGCTGCTTGCTTCTCATTTCGAATTCATTTTAATAAACGCGCACGAATTTGAGCGCTGGCTTTTGCGGCTGGCTTTCAGCTTTTCGCATGCCGCCATTTGTTTTGCATGCAAATGTTGAACCAGCCGCAACTTCATTTGCTGCTAATGAAGACTTTGGGCGAGGAGAGCAAGGGAGCGCGTGTCTGTGCCAGTTGCGAGCATTGCCAGCTCTCATTGTGCATCCTTGAAGCTGTCTGACTTGTTTTGCGTGAGACGCGCGCGCATAAATTGAGATTTGAAATGCAATGGCAGCTGGCAGTTGGCAGCTGCTGAGCTAAAAGGTGGCCCATCTCATTATGCAGAAGCCAAACAAAGCCAAGCTTATTATTGTTTCAGCCACAAAGGAATTAAACAGCCGCCAAGCTCATCAACTTGGCCCAACTGGCAAATCGTCAGTCAAAGCTGGCTGTGTATTATCATGTTGCCTCATTTTTCTTTTGCGTAAAAAAAACAAGATGGAACGGTTTTCTTAGGCAGGCCGAAAATTAAATACCCTTGTTGAAACGTAGCTAGCGGCTTTCACGATCTGCGCAAAATGTTCGACTGATTCTTCCTAATGAGCTGCACGATATGGTATTCAGGATCAGAATATCTTCCTAATCGAAAAATTTGTTTGTACAAAAAGTTGTTTTATTATAAATTGTTCTTGCCCTAAGTAAGGGTATCAGGGGTAAAACTCTAAACTTAGAATACAGTCAGAATGGTTGGCACAGAGCCAAATCCAAAGAAAAACATTTGCCAACATCATTTGTTAACTTCCTTCACGGGGAAGGGGATGGGCTGCTGTCAAAAATGCATGAGACGACAAATAGTCAAACAATTAAAAGCCAATACGACAACTCGTCACAACTCGGATCGAATTGCCAGACAAATCGTGCACACAATGGGCAAGCTCCAGCTTGGCAGCGAAGGGGCCCAATATCTGCCATTCTATTAAAAAAAATGCCCACAAAAAGCGAAATCCATTTTATTGATTGCGCAAATTCATTCAACTGTCAAACAAATTGCCGAAGCAGCACAAGTAAGACTACCATAAGCTGAGAGGAGATACCCTCAGTTCAGCGCCAAGTTAGGTTCCTTAACTTCCCTTTATGCGGCAGAGGTACAGCCCCTCTGCTTCACACCAAGCTTGGAGTAGATAGCTCTTATAATTTTCAAGATATCAAATGCCCAAGATAATATTTTAAAACGATATTTATCGATAATGTAAGTGCGTGAGGAAATATCGAAAAAAAAACTCGACCTGCGTATGGTTTGGGAACATATCCATTTACAATTTTTTTTTTTCTGACCTTAAAATTCAGCTCGTCTTCCTGATCAAGAATATATATACACATATGTATATTATGGGTTTGGAATGCCTGTCAAAAGTATGATTTTTTCCCATTTTAATAGGGTATAAGAAACGGTCAGAAACATGAGACAGAAGCTGAGCATGGAAAAGGTACACAAAAAATTGGCCTGAAACTGAATCCGCGTAGCATTAAAGTTTATTCAAGCCAAACCGAATTTAAAATGAAATATTTTAATATTTATGAAGTCGTTTAGTGAAAATTAAAAAAATGTTTAATGCTTAATTAAATTATGTTGGCTTTTGACGAATAATTTGGTCTTTGAACTCATTTGCCGTGCGCTCAATTTAAACGTTTGGACTATCTATCTGACGAATCTTCGAAGAAAAAGAATTTAATTTGTTTTTTTTTTTTCTAAATTAACATTTTTAATTGAGTTTCTGTCGCTTCTTCTGCCTCTTCTGCTGCTGCCTTGGCAATATAAACCAGTCAACTTAAATTAGAAAATTATTTTAAGGAAAAACAGCAAATACTGCTGATGCCGAGGCTAAAATCACTTGTGAACCTTTTTCTTTATTTAAAATAAGCGAAAAAAATTAATTATTACAAAAAAATGCACAACAATTCAAAGAAGGTGGACAATAAAAGGCAAATGGTCAAAAAACGGGCCGAGGAGGCGAACCAGAATAAACGAGACACAAAAAAATGTAAACAGAAGAGGCAAAATAAAAAAAAAAAAACTAAATAAGTGCGAGTTGAACATTTGCCTTGGCTTTTGATGCGGTCAAGCGAGAGGGTCGGTAAGGGGTGGGTGGAGGGATGGTGAGGGTGCATGGACTGGCAAATGCTCGAGGATAATACGCTCGTCCGTTTCTCCTCTCTCCTCGCCCTTCTCTGTGGCATTAATGTTTGCAGCTGTTGTTGGCCTTTTGTCAGCCAGAGAAACCTGAACTTGCGGCATTTACTTGAATTCTGGCCAGCGAAGGGCCCACACTAGAGTATTTCCTAAAGAGCTGAAGAGCTCCTTAAAAACATCCTCTCTGCGTGTGTGTGTGCATATTATGTGGCAATTGAGTTTTAAGTTTCAATTGCAACATTATAAAAGTAAGTTATAATGTTAGTTATACCCTGTGTTTAAAAGAAAATGCTTTATAGAGGGCATATTGCAGTCGTGCACGTAACAGGCAGAGGAAATCAGAAAATTATTTTCTCTGCAATACACAAAATTTATGTATTATGATACTTTCTGAAATTTTCTGTGTTCTAGAATATGATTTTTTCTGTTTGTATTGCCAAAAATGTAAAACTAACATAAACCTGCTAACATATCAAGCAGCTGTTAAACTAACAGCTGCTCAAGAGCAGCACTTTTTTAACATATTTGAAGCACTTGCATTGTCTGTAGTTTTCACAAATTACTTATTAATCTTAATCAATTCTTTTAAATTAAACAACTTTTAAATTCTAGTAACATCTACTCTTAATGATGAGCTAGAGACTTGATAGCCAGAGGAAGAATTCAATAAAGTATGTAGATTCTTGTTCAGCCCATCGATTTCTAAACTCTAAGAGCTGTACTATAAAAACTAGTTTCATTTTTAGAGTGAAACCAATTCCTGTAATTATTCCTTGCACCATAATTATGTTTAATAGGGTATTTCCAAGTTGGCTATTATAATTGTTTGTTTTCGGCTTGTTAGCCCTCGTTGTTAAACTGTGCTCGAAGAGGCTCAAGTGTTTTCGTTTGGAGCGTTCACATCGACTGTTTCTTTTGGTAATTTCTGCTTTTTGATTCATTAAATGTCCTTGTGCCTAATTTGTCCTTGGGGCCAGTTTTCAGTTAGGCTGCTCGCACACTTACCCGTCGCTCTGCTCGCCCATGCGGCTGCTGGCCAAAGAGTTGCGAGTGCTCTCGCGCTCTAGACCGAGCGTTGTGCTAGACAGCGCCAACATGGTGTTGCCCTGTCTGCTCTTGGGCGAGGCCGGCTGCAGGTAGCTGCCTGCATGTGCATGCTGCAACTGCAATTGCACCTGCAGCTGCACCTGCTGCTGCATCTGCTGCTGTTGTGTGGCATAGCGCTGGGGGCTGCCGGAGAAGGGCAGATGGGTTGAGATTGAAAATTCGGATTTGGTGGGTGAGCCCGTCGTTGAGGACGATGCCACGGACTCTAGACCGCGGGACAGCTTCAACATCTCGGCCCCAAACTGATGCAGCGCCGTCATTGTCGTGGGCGTTGGCTCTGGTATGCTAAAGGTTCAACGTAAAAAATTGGATACTTGGGGGAGACACTTGGCTTAGGCTCTGCTCACCTGGAGTCGGGCAGCCAGAGCTCATGATTGTCGAGCGTGCTGAGATCCGTGTCCGTTGAGTTTGCCGAGTGCGCGTGCAGCGCCGAGGAGGAGGCGTTGCTCTGGCCTGGTTTCAATAATCGCCGCCAAGTGCAGCGACGTTCTGTAATAAAATATAAAATCAAAATCATTAAATTGCAGTCAAGCATATGGAAGGGCGAAAAAAAATCACATGCCCTCAATAAGCCCGCTAAATGCGCTTATAAGTTCGCACGTGCACACACACACATACACACACGCACATAGAAATCGAGCGGGGAAAGTCCTGCTACGTGCCTGCGCCAATTTCAGTTGCCTTACAGCAGATTTAGCTTAAAATAACTGCACAGAAAATAACACACTCGTCCCCAGCACTGTGGGCATTTCATGCAGATTTACTGATAAATATTCAGCCTTTTTAATATAACCTAACATAAACCTGTTAACATAGTAAGCAGCCGTTACGTTAACAGCTGCTTAACAACAGCACTTTATAAACATATTTTAAACACTTGCATTGTCTATATTTTTGCCAAGTGACGAATTTATTTTAATTATTTATTTTAAATGAAAACACAGCAGTTTTATCATTATCTTACGAGTTCTTTTTTCAAAAATAAAAAGTGTTTTATGGCTCTACAGAGCGGCAATTGTGCTGAACCCATTGAAAATGGGTAAAAGGGGTATACTATATTTGTGCAAAGGTAAATAACAGGGAGAAGGAAGGATCTCCGACCACATAAAGTATATATATTCCTTATTAGCATCAATAGCCAATTTGATCTAGCCATGTCCGACCATCTGTCCGTCCATCCGTCCGTAAGGATGTCAGAACCTATTTGAGCTAGAAACTTGAAATTTGTAACGCAGGCTCTCCTGGTGCCCAAGCAGTACGAGTTTGTTTTTTGATAATCGATAGCTTGAACCATTTCAAGAAATCGGTAAAAATCGAAATTGAAATCGTGTTTTTAAGCAAATCTCTTAGGTTTTTAGAGCTAGAGTCACCAAACTTGATATGTAGCTTCTAGTAACTGAAAACTGTTTAAGAAACAAAAAATAATTAACAATGTTTAAATTTTTTCCATAGTACAGGCAAGCACACAGCTGCAGCAGCACTTAGGCACCGTCGCAATGCGCTCGACTTGCGCTTTGTACCGTCGATTAGCTATCAAATGCCCTGCCCCACAGCCGCAAACGGAACTCCACTGCAATGCAGTTGTAGTCGCTGCTGAGAGCCAATTAAATATGCTTAGTTTGTGATTTTCATTTTATTGATTATTGTTATTGCTTCCGAGTGCAACCTAGTTCTTATCGTGGCGTTTAAGCCGAATGCTAAAAGGGCGAAAATTATGTGCTCGAACTCCTGCGGGGCTCGCTCGGATGATGTCAAGTACAGAGGCAGCCAAAATAAATGGCTTGAGTGTTCAGTGAGAGAACTCTTTTGCAGAGTGTCCCGCTTTATTTACGGCTTCGCTTTAGCATAGCTGCTTGCTCTTAAACGAAAGCAGGCAGATATTGTTCATAATCTGATGGGTAACAAATCCTATATCTGTATTGGGACGACTGTACAAACAATTTCAGTTTGCAATTTCAAATTATTCAGCCTTTGGCAAACGATATTTACTCAAGCTTTACATTGCAACATTGCAGGACATTCAAGCTGATGCTCCTCTAGGCAAGCAGCAGCACTGAAATTAGCTATCAACACACACACATACACAGGCACATACACTCACAGGCACACACATACACAGCACACACACACCCAGGCACACATACAAGCAGATAAAACCAAACTCAATTCCTGCCGATGGCTCTCTGTGTGTATTGCTGTGGCTTAGACGCCTTTGCATATCTTGGCTGGCACCCCGGCACCTCGCATGCCTTCGCCCCCATTTCCCTGCTGCCATTTTATGTTAACTTTTCGGACAGTCGACAGTGCAACAGAAATTTCTAATATGATGTTTTGGCAGCCAGCAAATCACATTAAATGTCGACAGCTGTCTGCCTGTGGGCGTGCAAGTGTCATAAATATGCATGGGAAATACACTGAGCGAAATGCGCAGCTCGCGGTTTGGGTATTCAACTAAGTACGAAGCACTTTTGATTTGGGCACAAAATAGGTGTGTCTATACATGAATTTGCATAACTTAAATATGCTGCTGCTTTATTAATTTCAAGAAATCCCTTTTGAACATGGTTGGAAACGTGCTCGGGCTCAACTACTTGAGCTAGAAAACAATTGATGGGGTTATATATCGAGTATCGATTATATCGATGCTGTTTTTGATGTTTTTTGGAACCATCAATGCTTAAAATGACATTTATTGATTCAAAGAAACCGACAAGTAAAATACTTTTAAATTGAAATATTTTTTTTTTTGCTTTTTCTTCGAAAATTAAATAAACCGAAAAATTCCAATCATCACGGTCGGATCCTATTATTGTTTTAAGGCAATGTTTCGAAAAACCAAACGTGTCGAAAGGCCGCAATCCGTAAATTGTTAATACAAGCTTTTAACCCCAAAAATATCATGTATTTTTTTTTTTCAAATTAATAACGACAGCTTACAACCTATCAAATATTTTTTTGCATTCTGACGACATGCGCCGAGTCAAAGAGAACATTAAGCAAAGCTGGTGAAATGGTGATCCCATATGAATTGTTAATACAAGTTATGCCTTCTAATTATTTTTTTTCGATGGCATTAGTTATCGTTGTTTTTCCAGCTCTATCAGATACCCTAAACCCAAAATGCAGATGCACATTTTACATGGGACATACATTCTTAAATAGCTTCGCTGTTTAAAGTTCGATCTTCATAATGAGGCGTAGAAAAGTATGGCAAGAGGCACTGAAATGAAGGAATATCCTAAGGGATCTTATGATCATCGAGTTATGATTATATTTGTCTTGGATATGGGACATATGTACTTACCCAAAGCGGGGGCCTGGCCCAACCAGCCGCTGGCCCAGCCGGGCGTGGCCGCTGACGTCGGCTGGCCACCGCCCAAATTCTGACGCTGCCTGGCCAAGAGGCGGACAGTCAGACAATATGTGAGCAGCATCACACCCAGCGGTATGTAAAAGCAGACAATGGAGCCGACCAGCTTGTATACCGGATCTGGAATCTGGCAGGTGCCATTCACCAGCACCGAGGCGTGATCCTGGCAAGAATAACAGCTCGTTAGACAACCAAAAAAAAAAAAAAAAAAATAAAATAAAAGAAAATAAAAGGCCTGAAGCACACCTTGGAGTACATAAGGCTGAGCGGCAGGCTCATGGCAATGCTCAGCAGCCAGACAAAGACAATCTTGAGGGTGACGCGGCGCCTGGTCTTGTTACGGCCAAAGCGCATCGGATAGCGCAGCGACAGATAGCGATCCACGGATATGGTGCACAGGTGCATAATGCTGGCCGTGCAGAACAGAACATCCAGACATATCCAAGTGAGGCAGTGCTCCGAGCTGAGCGGAAAGTGGCCTGCAAAAAGATAGAGAGTGAGAGAGAAGAATAAATAAGTTTCTCTTTGACTTTTATTAAGTGGACTTTGCTTGTAAATAACAATAAAAGAATAGGGCAATAGTCGAGAGTGAACGACTAGGAAATACCCTATACAACTATGAAAAATGTATCCTTAAATAACTCTTCCGTTTAAAGTTGGATTATTGAAAGTTTGCAAGTTTAATCAACTGTCTTGTATATACTGAAAATAACTGAAGCTCAATATTTACAGGGCATAAAAGGGCAGCTGTTGTCGACCAAGTGAATGCAATATTTTCTAACTAGCCAACGAAAATAGGCGGCCAACTGTCGCTTGGCCATTTGATTTGATTTCTTTTTGTTCGGCCCTCTTCCCCCATTTGGCCACGGCTGCTTCTAGTCCTCCCTGGTGGCTTATGCAACATATTTGTGGCAGCTCCTTCATATGAGCACCCTCCGGGTCGCCCTTTCGACAGTCGTTTTGCGCAGCTGTTGGACGTCATAACTCAGCGAGATGCTCTCAAAGCCAAGTATGGCCGGCTTTAATGTATTGTGCCAGGCAAGGAGTGTATGTGTGTGTGTGTGTGTGTACTGCAATGAGTTATTCCCATGTGTGTGTATATTTTGTAAGATTTGTGTGCAGGATATTGTGGCTGGAATTTGACTGGGCATGAATATTGTATTGCTGCTGATATGGGATTTCGCTGGGACCTGCATGCTTTTGAAATATATGACTTGAGGCAAGAAATGTGAGTACATTTTAAGGCATTCAGACAGGTGATTTACTACGTTAAATCGCAGTTAACGTAACCACAACTAGCTTGACTGAAATAATGTTGGAATACCAAGTTTCAGCTAAAGCGGTTCGGAAATAACTTTCCAGCTTGCATTCTGATTGTTTTCTACAAATAACAGACATGCGTAACTATCTCCTATTTCACAGAAAACAATACAATCGTAATTGCAATGCTGTTGATAGAATTCAATAAACATGCGCGTGAATGTGTACTTGCACATATATGCAAAAATTTGTTCGCTCTGCGTTTCTTAACCGATCTTAATGAAATATTCAAAAATAGATCCTATTGTACTATAGAATATTTGTATATTCTGAAAAAGTCATTTGCAATAAATTTGCAATTTGGGGCTTCAACTGATGGGCAATACAAATCCGTTTATTATAGGTGGCGGTAATTATAAAATGAAAGAAACTTAATATATTTAGAGATTGGCTCGAGAAACAAGACTTCGATTTCGATTTTTATCGATTAATTGGAAACGACTCGCCTATTGATACTAACCAAGAATATATATACTTTATTGGGTCGCAGATGTTTCCCTCTGCCTGTTATATATTATACTATATTTATACAAATTAATTTTTAACCATTTTTAATGGGTTCAGTGTATAAATACTGGGTTCGAGCCTGTACAGCTAATAGCAGCATTTAGTCTTGATGGAGCTGAGCTAATTCAAGTAAATTAAAGGCTAGCATGCTTTTATCCTTTACACAGTGTCCGGCATTTCACACCTGAACGTATCTAACACATATATCAAGAGCACAACTTTCACCTGGTGTTCGATAGCAAATTGCTCGGGTAACATGACAAACTGCCTGCCAATCAACTGTTGCTGGCTGACGACATCCATAATTCGAGTTCCTTGGGCCATCAGCATTTGTCAAACCCTCCAATTGCAAACCATTTTGACCCGAGCTCCTCTTCTGTAGGTGTTACAAACACAAATGATACGGTCATTGCGTCAGGGCAAGCCGAGCGATTTATGTCCGGGCCTAAAGTGTCAATTAAATCGATTTGGGACGCCCTTTAAGCCGGAACGTGGGCCGCGTTGCAAAAGCATTGAAAGTAAATTTCGTTAAAGCGCCAAGCAAAAGGGAAGCAGCTTGAATTAAATATATATTTAGTGGGGGCGCAGGACGAAAGGTAACAAACTTATAACGGATACGCATGCTACCACCAAAGTTTTGTTTCCCTCGATTTCAGTTCCTGTGGCGGAGCCAAACAAGTTAATGTGCTCTGGTCTCGAGTGCCCGACTGGCAGATACCCTACATCTCAAGCTTGCAAACATAATTGCTTCCTTTCCACTTTATGCAAAGCCTGGTCAAGAACATATATGTATGCCTTTCTCTGCCTGTGACATACACTTCCACTAAAACAATATACCCTCCTTACCCAGTTTTAGGGTATACAAAAACACAAAAGGGCCAAACTGCATGCCTGAGGTCGACTTGGGGGTTAGGCAACGCTTTTATTTGTGTTTCGATCTCTTTTATTTTGTTTCTCCGTATCCCTTCCTCTCGCCCGAGTTGTGTTGTGTTTTGTTCATTCACAAAAAACATTTCAACTTACAAATGCGAAACAAATTTCAAACAAAAGCGCAAAGTTCTTAGCTCGAAATAAATTTTTAGCTGATTTCTTTTGTGTGTTTTATTTTGTTTTGCATACTCTTTGGAGCCGGGACCCGGGCCGAGGCCCGGGGACCATAAAAACTAAACTCAAACACAAATAGCAGCTAAAAGCTGGGCGCTGAAACTTGGCAACCGAAATGACTTTGTAAATGCGTTGAAACTTATTTAATTTGCTGCAAGTTTTAGTGGGTCAAATGGAGGGCGGGCAGTCCTAATAATGACTTTTATATTTATCAAATCAACTAACAGACCAAGATTCAAGTCATGCCGGAAATGCGATGAAAATCTGTCTGCTTAGCTTTTATACCCTGTAGGCAATTAAAAATGGGTATATTGCAACTGGAGTTGTCATGTAAAAGCCAGACGAGCCAACTGTGGTGTCATCTTTGATTGGCAAGACGAGCTGATTTGATTGAAATATGCATTAATTTCAGAGACTAGATGAGCTAAGAACTGACCTTCATTTATTTCAGACAGGGTATGTAACCCCGCCACCTTTTTTTGATTTGCTGCTTGCAGAGTCATCAAATTTGTCACGCAGCTCTAAAGAATCAAGAATATTTTACTTCATAGATCATTTTTGATATTTGTATATTTAAATACCATCTGCTTGTCTCAATAACTTGATAACATTCGTGCGACAAGCTAATAAGCTAAGTTATTTGAGAGCACAGTATAAGTTTATGCATTTGCTATAGTATAGTATAGTATCTTGGTATAGTATAGCGTATTTGTCAGTCGACGAGGCTTTAGTTTCTCTCTCATTTTGGCTGGGTTTCAGCGCGTTGCGACGGATCGCTGCTTATGACAACATAAGCTGTTGTATGACAAACCAAACGAACGACCGAAACAACAACAGCAGCAACAACTACAAATATTTGAACACTTTTCTGCGTTGGCAAACAATGCGCGTGCAGCGCTCCAAGCGGCGAGAGGACGCAACAACAAGGCCTGCTGCTGCTGTGGAAATATGCCAAAAATGATTTATGGCTGTTGTTGTTGTTGTTGTTGTTGTTGTTGTCGGGCATCGATTTCAATTTGAGTTCGAATTTCGTTTCTGCTCCTGTAGCGCATCAACAATTAGACATATTTGGGCCAACTGTTTGCGCTTGGCTAAAAGGGTTCTACTCTGTGAATTTTTTTATGCCAAACTATTTGGCATATTATTTATAATACTGTTTACCTGTTTTGCAGCTCTTGAATTTCAATTGAAAATCCGACTGCGACACGGTTCAATGGGCATAAAATTAAATGCGCAAATCGTAAATCGCAAACCCAATCAACGGGGGCGAAATATCAAATAACCGACAGCGAGTAAAATAGCACAACAACAACGAGAATAAACAACTTGTAGAACTCAACATCTCCATGGTTTGTGTCAATAAAAAAAGCTGACAAATAAATTTACAACGCGAACATGCAACATGCAAAATAAAAAATGCGTATATAGAAATAAAAAATGTTGTGTGATATTCCAAGAAAAAATTCACAGCGATTATCAAATAAGCCGAATAAGTCGAATATTCTTCATTTTATTTGTAAAGCTTGTTGTTAGAATTGTTCTTGTTGTTGTTGTTGTTGCTGTCACGCACAGTCGCCGGTTCAATTGGCAACAATAACAATTTTCAATAACAAATCAAAAGGAGAAAAAAAAAACATTTCTCTGGCATATGACAGCTACTCGGCAGGGTCATGACTCGAGCAGGGGCCTCATGTCGTGCGGCAAAGCTTAAACAGACAGCTGGCAGACAAAACGTTTGTAAGCTGCGAAATTTTAGCCTGCGGTGGGGCAGAGTGCACACACACACGTACAGGTACACACATACAATGGCTAATAATCAATCATTTAAAGTGTTGCCTACTTTTGAGCGCGCGCTTTAAAGTGCGCCCCGCACATAAATGGCTTAACTGTTGTTTATCTCTCGCTACCTCCCTCCCTCCCTCTCTCCCTCTCTCCCTCTCACTGTCTGTATACCTAACTGCCCCTCTCTCTCGCTCTCTCTCTCTCTCTCTTACTGTGTGAGTGTGTGTGTTAAGTACCCGCGGCGCTTGTTGACATGTTGTCACCTCCGCTGTCAGCAAATGTATGAAATGGCAACGCAGTCACCTTCATTTCCTTGGTTTGCATAAGCAAAAACCCCACTGGGTTTTCCAAATATGCGCATGCAGAATACCTTTTTTTTTATACAGTTACATTATATAGGTATATATTTTTTTCGTGACTTTTGGCGCATCTGCATGTAAATATCATTTTCATTTCGCGCGCCCCGTTGACATATTTGCATGCATATGCATACGCTAACACACACACACACACACACACACACACGCATATTCACACACACATTGTACATATCTATATATACTCTTACAAATATGTTATGCTATATGTATTCGTGTTTATGGGCCTGTATATCTGGCCCTCATAAGATGTATTTTGGTTTGTTTGGCGTTTTTTTTTATTATTTTTAGACCTGGTGCCCATTCAACAGGAATAAAAGCGGGTATATACAGTTGCGTAAATATGCTTATAACAGACAGAAGAAGGCATATTGACAGCTAAAGGCCAC